ACAGACCTTATATAAAATGTTATGTTTCATGGGGGTTTAATATTGATAGGTTTTAAAGTTACTTTTCTTTATCAAGATGAAGATTCCAGAAAGAGTTTTTTCTCATGCGTTTTGGGGTTTTATTTATTTTAAAATTTCCCAGGAATTTAATCAGTACTAAAAAAAAAAAAAAAAAAAAATTTAAAGGATGATGGATAAAAACCAAACATGAAGGGTCCGGTGGGGGTGAGGGGGTGAAGGCAGCCCAGTGTTCATGGGAAGGCAGCGGCCTTCGATTCACTGCAGGCTTGTTGCTGCAGAAGTCAGGCAGTCTCGGCTACCAGGGCCCAGCTCTCTGCGTGTCTCACTTGCCTACTGTGCAAGGGAAGCAGTTGGAGCCACTGTGAAGGGTCGGAGTCAGGAGGAGGCTCTGTCTGGCAGAGAAAGCAGACCAGAGCTATTGCCTGTGTCCCTACTTGTCTCATTCCCCTACTGCACAGGGAGTCGGGTGATGAGGCGAGATGCGCAGGGAGCCCCCCTTGGCTGCCAGAATGTGGCTCCCTGCCTGTCTTGCTACCCCTCGGCACAGCAGCAGCTGCCGAGTGGCAGTTGACTTCTGTGCAGGCGCACTGCGCCTTTTGGCAGGGGCACTGCAAAGACAGAGCCAGGTCCAGGGCATTCCAGCATTTGCAAAATTCAGGTTAAAATTGATAAAATCCAAATTCTTGTTTGTGTCAAAACCCAGGAATTTGGGGGAGGGGGGGTCAATTTGATAAAAACCAAAAACAAAGAGCCTTACTTATAGCCCAGTTCCAAAACAGAAATTACTGTAAATTCCTTAGAGAGACAAGGTGGGTGAGGTAATATCTTTGATTGGACCAACTTCTGTTGGTGAGAGAGAGAAACTTGCAAGCAACACATAGTTCTTCTTCAGCGACCAGCATGGCTACAACTACACTGTAAAGTCCTTGGTTTTTGAGGGAACTGGAGATGATGAAATGGATAACTGATCATAAGTTTGTTCAAACTTATTTTTAGTTTTGCTGATGGATGAATGTTGAGTGACTGTTGCCAGGATTCTTTTCTAATCAGTTATTTTTATGCTGAACGTTCCAGAAACTCGTGACAGAGTCACTTCAAGACTTTTTTTCACCTGGATAAGTACATGCCAGCTTCTTCAAAAGTGGTCTAATATTTCTGTATTTTTGACATTTTGAGAAGGAATTGCAGATTTACAGTGTCTAGTATGTTAACTAGCATATATTTTAAAATTTCTGATTTAAGTAGAGCTTAATCAAGTTGATGCTTACTAAAAGATGACCTAATCTGACCTTGATTGGCCCAAGTTGTGTGGCTCCAAGGTGTGCCTTGCACCTGATTTGTCAGAAACCTTGGGGGGGCGGTGCTGCATGGCTGAGTAAATAAAATTTTCAAACTGTTGGAACTAAGGATAAGGCTGAAAACATTACCTTTTTGGATCAGTAAGCCACCTGAGGGAAAACTGGCATTTCAGAATCTCCAAGATCAACTCAAGCCTCTACTATAGTATCTCTGGATGTGGGGGTGTTAGCCACAAAATAAGACTAGAATTCTAAGCAGGAAGCTTTATAATTGGCTTTGATGTGGTTTAAACATATTAAATAATTTAGTTTCCGTAGTAAGCCATTGACAGGCTTTAAATCATTGATTTGATTCACCTTGGTAAAATTCTTTAGTTAGGACTTAGAACCAAACAGCCACTTTCTTAGAATCCTGTTTAGAATGTATAAGGATTGACTATTTTTAATATAAATCCTATGATTTAACTAGTTAGACTGGAATTAAATCATCAAACTTGATGATTTGATATTGATTTTGATTTGATAGTTGTAATGCTTTATTTCTAGTTTAGTTTATTATTAACAATAGTTTAATTTTGGTGATATGTTTTCTTGATTTTGTATTTCTTTAAGAGACTTAATAAAATTTATAAGATTGATACTGAGTCACATTTCTTTCAGTAAGCAGTATGAATCTGACCAGCTCCCCCTAATTAGTTCTTGGTTCTTACAGAGTCCATGTGATTTTGTTAGCTCTATCAGCATCTTTTGATATCATTGTCCATGATGTGTTTGTTTTGCTAACACCCTGCAAAGCCTTACAGGAATGGATAAAAGAGGCCTTTCAGTAGATTTCTTTTTTCCTCTGGAACAGATCTCAAAGGATGAGGAGTATCCTTTTCCTCCTTTGTTAAATGTGTAAGTATAGTGTGGGGGAAGCAGAGACACATTTTGGTGTGTGAGATTACCGCTTGGCAGATGATACTCAGATCTAATTTTTTGTTTGTTTTTTGCCAAACACTGCCTGATAGAGTTAGAGGAATAGATAGGAGCAATCCGGTTTAGACTCAGTCTAGGTGAGACAAATTATTGTAATAAGTACTAGAATGCTTCTAGAGAATTTGGTGGTGTCTGAGTTCAACTTTTATTACAGGGATATGCCAGGCCGCTGCCATTACAGTTTTTGTAGTCTGGTGTCATTTTAGATCTATTGATGCTCCTGGATTCTTAGGTACTAACTATAGTATGTATTGCCTTTCCCATCTGTGACTGGCTAGGAGCATGTGGCTGGTCCACTCTTAACTCAGACTTTGCCCCAGTAATCCATGACGTAGTAATCTAAGGGCTAGTCTATACTGGCAATGCTTAAGCGCTGCTGCAGTGGCGCTTTAACATGCCTTGTGTGGTTGCAGCACAGCGCTGGGAGACAGCTCTCCCAGCGCTCTAAAAAAACCACCTCCACGAGGGGCATAGCTACCAGCGCGGCTCCCAGTGCTGGTGCACTGTCTACACTGTCACTTTACAGCGCTGAAACTTGTTGCGCCCAGGGTGTGTTTTTTCACACCCCTGAGCGAGACAGTTGCAGTGCTGTAAATTGCCAGTGTATATAAGCCCTAAAATTTGAGGTTTCAACAAGATGCTGTACTTGGGTGTGTCTTTACTGCACTTACCCCTAGTAATCGGCACCCAAGACTGAGCACTGGTTAGCCTACCCCGGGTGTGAAAAGCCAGGCACTCCCTTGTGTGTAACACTACGACTTCTGGGGGCACATCTCATGGTTCTTTGTGCTGCAGTGATTGTTTCTCTCTCAGTTGTGGACAAACGTATCTGTCCTTTCAGGAAGGCATTGGAGGACGATAGCCCTCAAGTGATTTTGCATCCTCGCTGCAAAGAGGGCAGATTGCCAGCCTGAGTGAAAGTGGAGCCCTGGCTCTATGCTTCCAGCCGGGCCAGGTAGCCTGGGTTGAAAGCTTAACTTAATTCTGGTGGGAGGTTTCTATAGGTGGACTGGAAGGGAGTTAAGGTCAACATCTGAGTAAGATCCTAGGCTAACGGTGCAGTGAGGACATATGCCTTGAGGCTACCTGAGAAAAGGACTCAAACCTTCAACTGATGCGGTGGAATGTCACTTGAATAGGCCAGATCACTTTAGTAGTCAACATTCTATGCTCTGTGATCAGCACTTGTTGTTGTCTGCTTCTGGGTGCATGTCAAACTGTTCATTATAACATATGAAATCTAAAATGGTCTGTTACCCAGGTAATTAGAGAGAGAGCTTCTCTCTGTTCATGTTCTGTCACAGGAATTGAAATCTGCTTGGTCGCTCTTGCTATTGGTTCCAGATTTTAAATTGTCCATGGCCAGAGGTGGTAGGGTGTTCCTGTTAGCCCATGTTAACAAACAGGGAGATTATTGTGTTCCGTTGACTTGTAATTGATTTTAGTGATGTAAATCTCCCAGGTGTCAAATATAAATTTCTTAAAAACCAAAACAAAATCCAAAACTCAGTCACACAAACACCTGATTTAGCAGTTTATGATTATACCAGTGATAGGAGGAGGAATAAAGATTTTTGAACTAAAGATACAGCAGGCAACTATGGTCTTACACTATGACCACTCCTATACTAGAGACCCATTTACAGTACAGTAGCACCTTGACACAATTAAAATACAAGTTGGACATGACTGGGTAGATGGGACTTTGCAGAGCCTTTACAATGGTTTGGTAAAACTTTTTAAAACAGTGTTCAGTCGTATTTTAATCACGTCTGTCCTCCACTGTATTGTATTGAAGGATTCAGTTATTGTACTGTTTGTAGTGTAAACAGGACCTAACAGAACAATGAATTTTTCAAATATTTTGTATAAAAAAGAATGTTTAGTTTTTTGAGTTTATGCATACTCTGATAGTAATTAGGGATCCTAAAAACAGATCCCATGTTTAGTTTTAAAGGTTTGCAGTTTAACATTCCTGACCTTTATTGGTTTGTGTTATAAACTCAGTGTTTTTAAATGTAGGTTTTAAAGTTTAATTTTCTTTTCTGTATAGGATGTTCATTATTTGCACAATTCACACCAACAGCTCTGTTGCATATTTATACATGAGTTTTGGAACCATCACAGCCTATGGTATAAAATGTCTTATTTAGACAAGTAATAAAATCATCATGACGCTACTCTGAAAATTAATGATACGCACCATATATAGTTTTAAAATGTGCTGTTCATTGCCTATTTAGTTTGTGTCCTCCTCCCCCCACCCTGCCAGGGCATTGTGATTAAATCATATTTAAAGATAATCTTTTGGCAAATTTAACTTCAATCCTTTTTTAGTTATACAAATGACTTGCAAATAACAAATGGCTGAAAATTTGAGGGGAAATGGGGTGGAGGGCTCATTGCACTTCTGTGCCTTACAAACAGCTGCAAACTAATTTTCTTTTCAAATGTTAACAAAGTCCTTTCCAGCTTAAACCTCCTATGCCAAGTTTTCATTCCACAATAAAGCTGTGGAAATAGATGAGTAGGATAGAAGATATATATACAGAGAGAGAGAGAGAGATTTTAAAGAAACATTTTAAAAAAATAATCCTTTGCAAGTCACCTTTAACTACCCACTCCAAGGAGAGTTGCTGTCAGGTGGAATACTATGTATGAGAAGATAGATGCTCATAGTTTGTGTTTGATGTGCATTTACAGTGTCCATTTATGGAATTTGGTTTTATGATAAGGAAGAATGCCAAAGAATTGCAGAGCTCATGAAAAAGTAAGTGATGATGGGTAAACAAGATTTTTGTGCTCTTTATGTGTATGTACTTCTGTATATACATGCACATTATATTGCTTGGATGGTATTACACCTCTGAACATTAACCCCATTTATACTGAACTTGTTGAAAATAAGATTGTGTCACACATCACTAAATATTATGTATTTAAAAATAAATGTGTAAACAGAATACAATACCTTTACATAATTCGGTATCTCTCAAATTATATCAGAACGTAATGGGTCATCTGATTTATTCTCTAAAACCTAACGGATCTATTTCGGAGAGTGTCTCAATGAAAAAGTACTACATTGGGGTTAGAATGGATAATTTCCCCCCTCTTTTTGGGGACCTATAGTTTTAAAAGGAATTACCGTTGCAAGTGTGCAAGAAAAAGAAAAGGGGTAAGTGGGGGGAGGGGACATTCATAAAGGATGCCTGCAGGTTTTTTCTGTATTTTTATATGTCCTTTCCATGTTAACCTTGAACAACTCCTTCTATTTCTCCTTTTTTTTAACAAAATGTGCAAGATTAAGTTCTTTGTCATTATTCTGAAACATAAGCCTCTGACTTCAATATATTTGTTTGCTTAATAAAACAATTTTCAGCGTGTTTTATAAGCTCTAATTATACAATCAAATCAGAGATCGAACACCTCACATAAAACCATATATATTCTGTGCAACATTTCATTTCTGATAGTATTACTGATGTCCACTCATCTAGCTTTTTCACTGCTTTCTGTAAGAGTCCATTGCTGGCAGAGCCCATCCCTTCTCTGCCTACTGCTCTATATCTAATGGCTGGCTCCTTTACCCTGCTATATGCCTGCTTTTTGGCAACATTTGTTTGTTTGTTTTTGATGGGGAAGGGGTTGGAGGTGCTTAATTTTTGATAAAATGTTGTAATCAAAGTTTTTGAGGCCTTAGGGTATGTCTACACTGCAGCACTAGTAGACATACATACAGTGAGAAATACAGCGGTCTATAAGACAGCAAAAAAAAAAAAAATCACCACTGCATGTCCTACAGCGCTGAAGTGGCTAAATTGTGACCCAAGAAATAATTGGTAGAGAAACAATTTACAGAAATAAGCAATGATCCCTAGGAAACCTGAGCTTTTAACAGCTAATGTTAGTTAACTAGCTCAAGTTGCAGTTGGTGGTGATTAGGTACTCTCAAACTGATAATTTACTACAATAAAGACTAGTTTTCACAGGATTCATGCTATTGGAAACCATGTGTAGTGGTTTATAATAACAGCATTTCATATAGATTAAAAAATACCCTGTAGCTCAGCCAAGTGGCTGTGTGCTAGAACTCTCAGCATTCTGCTGCAATTATAAAACAGCTGGGGCAGGAAATTGGTCACTTACTACAAGTTAATGACTGAATTGTGTCTGTTCCCCACCTCCCACCACCAGTCAGAACTGAATAACACAATAAATTCCCTGTACCTTCTGGCTATGGAACCTGTGATTGAGTTTCAGAAATTCAAGTCTTTATGGCCCTGTGTGCACAGAATTTGGAGGAAACTTCATCTTGTCCCCAGTCAAGCCATCCTTTTATATAGACTGCAAAAATATATAGACTTCTAGAGTTTTGTTTAATGATTAAAAATAATTGTGGTTGAACTTAATATTTTCATTTATTTCTGCCTTATGGATTCCCACTTTACCCCTCACTTCCAGTCTAACTCAGCAGGAGCAATTCAAAGCACGGCAGGGGGCTGGAGCAGGAGCCTCTCCAATGATCCAGAGCTCTGGTGATAGCAAGGAAGTGGATATCTTACGGATGCTTACTAAGGCCAAAGATGAATATACCAAGGTGAGTTTTGTTCTGTGTAAAATTTCCTTTGGGCATCATGATAACATGACACCACCTCTTGTCATTTTGTTTTCTAATGGATTTATGTTCTTTTTGTAAAATTACTTTGCAAACATCAAATAATTACAGGGTGTTGGAGCAGTATGCCTGATGTGGTTTTCCCTGTCAAAACATGCAAAACAATTTCATGTTTGTGTATCAGTATCTTCTACGGAAAATAATACATATAAGAATTTTTGTTTTTCTGTGGGGCCATTATTAAGTGATCATAGAATCATAGGACTGGAGGGGACCTTGAGAGGTCATCTAGTCCAGTCCTCTGCACTCAGGACAGAATTAAGTATTATCTAAGTGATGTGAGCTTATGGGATACATTTCAGTGACTTTGATTTTTGACACATGAATCTCACATACTCCTTGCGTATTCATTGGTGCCTAAGAGCTGTAACTTCTTTGATGTCAAGTATCAGAGGCGTAGCCGTGTTAGTCTGAATCTGTAAAAAGCAACAGAGGGTCCTGTGGCACCTTTAAGACTAACAGA